ATTTTTTTATCATTTTCAAAGTTTTTAAATTCCTTGTTTTATTCTTGTGATTATTTTTTTTTTATGATTATTTTACTTTCTTTTAAAGCACTTTGAATTACCATTGTGTACGAAATGTGCTATATAAATAAACTTGCCTTGCCTTGCCTCATCTGTTCAGTATGTACCCTTTAAATATTTACACTGAAAAGTAAACTGTTTAAAAAGGTCAAGTGCAAGATACAGATCAAATGAGGAACAAATAATCATATTACTTGTAAAAAGTGGCAGGTCTATTAGTTTGCATTTACACTCCAAGACTCAATACACAGATCTATTTTAACAGAGTTTTTTATTATCATGCAGAATTCTGTCCAACTGTAGAGAATACCAATCACTCCCGAAAATATCCTATTATAAAGACAGAGAAACGCAACATCAACCCTAATCTTGCCATCACAGTGTGGCCTCCTTGTATTTAAACACATGAAACTGTATAGCAGGGGTCAATTCTGGACCTCGAGATCCAATTTTATGCAAAGTTTAGTTCCAACCCTAATCAAACACACCTGAACAAGCTAATCAAGGTCTTCAGGATTTCTACAAAGTTGCAGGTTGGTGTGTTTAATTCAGGTTGCAGCTAATCTCTGCAGGAAAGTGGATCTCGAGGTCCAGAGTTGTGGTCCCCTGCTGCATAGGCTTACCTTATAACCAGTGTTGACAGTCTTGATTATAACGGTAGTGTCAGGCGCCCGCTGTAACAATGCTAGAACAGCTTTGCGGATCCTCAACACTCTATGGGTGTAGAAATCCAGAGGGTACGTGGTGAAATGGGGCCCCATATGGAACATAATGACCGTGTGGGATCCTCCAGCCAGGTCATCGATCTCATTACTGATGTAGTGCAGATTAGCAACTGCTGATTTTCGACTGCGCAGAGGAATGCCGTGAGCCCTCCAGTGTAAGTCAATGTTGTTCTTCACATCCACTGCTAGGAGCGGCCCTGACTGATATTGGACATGCAGGTTCATCTGTTTCAGGGCTGAAAAACAGTTAGTGACACCAACAAATATGATCCCAAAATTACTGTACACACTGTATATATAATATATCATTAATTAACCAATGAATAAATTCTCACTTGGTACTACTTTCACAAAGAAATCAAACCACTGTCTCATGGTAGAGTCTCCCATCATGTAAATGTGTTTGTCTTTCAGGCACTCTGTTGTCGTTTGGGTTGTAAAATGTCGGGTGCTACAGACAAAGGACGTCCACACATCATTGAGGTAAAAGCCGGCTGGAACTGGAGTGTGTAAACCAGGATGACATTTCTCTGCTACATCTGCAGGATGAGTAAAGGGAAACAGTAAGTAGTGTAACAAAGTTATGAGTTTGCCCAAAATGTATCTAAACTCGTTATTTTGACTTGCATTGTCTAAGTGTCAGTACATTTATTCCTCTTTTTTGTGCAACATATTTCCCAGCATCTGTGCTGTACTATTCCTCTGGGTTAAACTATTGACCAACATACCAATAGTTTCATTTCCATGGGAATGAACAATTTTGATGATGCTCTTATCTCCATTGATACCTTTGTTAGTTTGCTTCCTGTCAAAGAGAACATGTTTGTCTGTCATACTGCCTTCCATCAATGCATACTAATTAGTTCTAGTAAAATAATGTGTTCAATCACTCACCTTAGTTTTAGACCAGAACAGCTTGGCTTGAAAAAAGTCGCCTCCATAACTCTTGGATTTACTGTCAAAGTCCTTTGCGTGCACCGTAACAAAAAGCTCCTCACCAGTTTGGTAGCTCTTTTTCAGGTTCTCAATGTTGAATGTGGTGTGGGCTGGACTAGTACTCGTGGACACACTTGTGATTGATCTGTCAGGCCCGTCCCAGTAAATAGCCTGCTGTAACCTGGAGTAGCCATCTAAACTGATTCCAAATTCAGAGTAAAATGACCTTACAACTGACTCTTCTGAACTGAATCCTGAAGGAGAAGTTGAGTTTGGAGAGTTAGAGAGTCCTGCAAAGTGCTGAGACAAAAAGCTTGGTGGAGAATGTTTCTTCTTTTCATTACCAATATAAGTCCATACAACCTACAAATACATAATAAATGATTATTAATCAAAAGGTCCTCCTTTGTGGGAATCATGCTTGTAGATTATATTACTAAAACTAAACCAAAAAACCATTACAATAATGAGTTCACTTAGGATACTAAATAGCATAATATGTATATTATACCACACTGTTAAATGTGTGATTCTGATTGGTTGATGAATGTTCTAAGGTAAGCAATTATTTTCAAGAACTAGTGAGTAGTTCCAGGTCTGTTGACAGCAGTACAGTCATGGCCAAAAGTTTTGGCAGTGACATCAATTTTGTGTTTTGCAAAGTTTGCTGCTTTAGCTGTTGTGGTGTTCATTCACATTGTTTATAGATTATTGTGCAGAATGGTCAGATGCATTTTAAATAATTGCTCAAATTACTTCTAATAATTGCTTCATTGGCCAAAAAAATTTACTTTTCACAAAAAACAAATTTCACTGTGTTTTTGATCCTGACACAAAATGACCAGCTAACATAATAAAAGGAGGGAAGAAGCGCTTCTAATCATTGTGTTCTTGTTAGCTATGGTTACCTCCAAAGTAACACGTGCAGCCATCATCGCTTTGCATCAAATTGGCCTCTTTGGTGATGATCTGTGCATTTTCCAGCATGATGGAGCACCATGTCACAAAGCAAGAGTGATAAAGAAGTTGCTCGAAGATCATTACATTAAAATTTTGTATCCATGGCCAGACAACTCCCCGGATCTCAATCCTATAGAGAACCTGTGTTTAGTCCTCAAAAGGCGAGTGGACAAGCAGGGCCGGATTTACGCATAGGCATTCTAGGCATGTGCCTATGCTTGCTCGTCCAGGGGGGGCCCAAACACAATGAAGAGATATAAGAGATATAATGTTTTTGTTATACTATGGGATATCTACAACAGTAATAGAACCAAAACCCCAGAAGATATTGAGCAAATAAATATAACAAACAATAGGGTAAAAATGGCAAACTATTTCCATGTCTTCAACCTTTTTTATGTACGGAAATCATGCTTTCTTTCTCCCGTTCTCTCTCACACATGCACACACATACACTCGTGCACACATGCGTGATGTGTAATGTGTAATATTTTACGACGATCTATTGACAGAAATGCAATATAATATACATAACTATGTTTTCAGATGTGTATAAAGACCTTACTTAATTAACCGTTATGTATTTATTACCTTAGATTGAGCAATTTCTATCTACATACACCGGGGGTCCCCTTACATGGAAGTCGCCACCATGTTTCTACAGTAGCCCTAAACGGACAAACTGCTCTACAGAGCGCGTTTCGTCACTTTGTTGTTCTCCAATAAAACACTGACACAATGATAAACAAGTACATTAACATTCGCAAAAACATCGATTTATTGAATGATTAAGTAAATATAATTCCTTAATTTACCTTTGTAAAGAAATCTCATTGCTCTCTCTGCTGTCTCAGACGACGACATCTTTACCTGTGTCGGCCACCGTAGCTTCTCTAAAGGGAGGGGTGAGCGGGGGACTGAGCCATTGGTTGCAATTCGCAACCTCACCGCTAGATGCCACTAAAATTTACACACTGCACCTTTAAGCTACTTCCTTACCAAACTACCAAAAGAATATCACACACTTTTCTGCCATGATGCAGATAATGTTCAACATTAACCCGACCAATGAAAAGCCTCAAGGCCTGAGCTGAACTTAAATCTCCAGTTTAATTAGATTTATCTGCTCCCTGTGTCTTTGAATTCAGACCGCTCCATCATAATGTCAGTGCATAATTTATGAGTTGAACAACAACAATTAAAACATCAACACGGAAGACTCTACATAATTCATTGAATGACTTGTAGAGAAAGACTGGATGTCTGGTTAATGACGGACCGGTCTTTGAAGTCTGGGATTCAGCGGCTCTATGAATATCATGAATAAAGTAAGAGAAAATTTTACTAATTCGATTCATTTATTCTAGAACATTGATTATTTTTTAGGAAAGCCATCTGTGTTAGTGAAACATTTTCCTGCATGAGAGGCATGAGAGCGGAGCGGCCGTTCTCACCAACTGTTCCGGACAAGCACCATGTGCTAACGTAAGGCAACTCAAGTGCGTCAAATACAGCCCTCGATAGGTGGGATAAGTAATATGATATCCTTACGACTCAAATAACTAAACGAAAAAGAGCATGAAGCTGTTTGAAGTACTGTCATGAACTGAATGAAGAAGGAAGCATTGCACTATAATTTTGCCTTCCTGCCATAAAGAAATATCCAGATGGCCACAAAGGTTCCCTACCTGCCCAAACACATGTCAAGTACAGTCTTGTGCCCTTTCTTTCAAAACATATTCTCTTTTCAGCTCCTCTAGTGCACATTTCTACAATGTTTGCCTGCATGTAACATGGGGTCCGTTAAATGCTGAAGCTCTAGCTGGGAAAAAGACAGTGTTTAGCATTCCACCTGGTCATTAGGCAGCTGTGCAACTGATATATTCTGAGCCCCAATGTAAAATTAATGCCACCCTCGTATCAACCTCAGACAGACAGGCTAATGAGGGCATTGGAACAAATATGGCATCAATTATTCCATATGCGGCACTATATTTTTAGCTCCATCTTCTTTTCACACTTCAGTGGCCTCAATCTTTAACCCCCACAATAAAAAAATAAAAAAACGTTTCTCTCACGATAGACTGGTGATTAAGCCTAACTTTGCCTAACCCAGAAAGGTTTACAAAGCCCCAAACAAAGCAAAACAAACAAAGACCTAACTGGCAGTCATTAAACGGTCAGGGTTAGTTGCTAATAGTGGATAGTGTGAGGCAATTAGCACATGGTCCAGGAAAGCCCTCAGCAGTCCTAATTAAGTCATCTCTAAGTTCACTGCAGAGGCACTGGGCTCGCTTATCACACCCAAGAGGATGGCAGAAACCAACACAAGAGAGAGATCCAGGCATAAACAATGGTAATTTCTAAATGATGTACTCGCTATGCTCTACCTGAACTTCTGCTTCTTAGATGGCAAAATTGCATGGTTTGAACAAAGAAAACGTCTTATAACCCTGTTTTCTTTCCATAAGAGATCTTTTCCCTAGCCCACAGACAGTCTAAGCCTGTTGGGTGAAATGTTTTATAATGAGGGTCAGCTGATGGTCAGTTTGAATGTTTTGAACCGAATAAAGGTAGACCTCAGTCATCTACATTCACTCTCTTTTCACTGGCATCTGCTCTTGAATTCTCCTCTTGCCTTATGCTCTTCCTCTCTGCCTGAGCTCTGACTTCTTGGAAAACGGTGTTAAAGGCCATCAGGTCTTCAGTGGCATCTCTCTTTCTCTCTTCAGAGCTTCAGGAGCTGTTCACACAGAGCACATTTTTCCATTCCATTGCGCTAGTTTTCCATTGTTTTTCTATGTAAGCACACACTAGATGGACATGTTTGGATGTTGCATTGGCCTCTTTTGCAGTGTCTCATGCATGCCGCAGCATTCTCAACACAACGCTCAAGTTAAATTAAGTTCAACTTTTGAAAAAACGTGTCTCCAGACCTTGAGTTTTTTCCCTATTCGTGATCGAGCTTCATCTACACAAGAAGTGAGTATAAGGTTTTTTATGAATCTTTTCAAATTGCCTTTCCTAATATTAAAGGTGCAATGTGTAATATTTACAACGATCTATTGACAGAAATGCAATATAATATACATAACTATGTTTTCAGATGTGTATAAAGACCTTACTTAATTAACCGTTATGTTTTTATTACCTTAGATTGAGCAATTTCTATCTACATACACCGGGGGTCCCCTTACATGGAAGTCGCCACCATGTTTCTACAGTAGCCCTAAACGGACAAACTGCTCTACAGAGCGCGTTTCGTCACTTTGTTGTTCTTGCGAATAAAACACTGACACAATGATGAACAAGTACATTAACATTCGCAATAACATTGATTTATCGAATAATTAAGTAAACGTAATTCCTTAATTTACCTTTGTAAAGAAATCTCATTGCTCTCTGCTGTCTTTAGCGACAACATCTTGACCTGTGTCGGCCACCGTAGCTTCTCTAAAGGGAGGGGTGAGCGGGGGACTGAGCCATTGGTTGCAATTCGCAACCTCACCGCTAGATGCAGCTAAAATTTACACACTGCACCTTTAATCTCTCCCTCTCGATAGTGAAATTTTATAGGGTACTATTATTGTTATAAATGTAATAAATTTTTTAATTAAATTGTTTAAACATCCTATTTGGTTGCTAAAATAAATTAAACCATTAAAGGGGTCATGAACTGAGAAACCAAAATTACCGTGATCTTTTGAAATATAAGAGGTCACTGTACTATAAAAACATCCTGTAAGTTTCAGAACTCAAAACTTTCTCGTTAGTCTAAAAACAGCATATATTGAAGCCAGCCTGCCAAAACAACAGCTTGTGGAATGTACGACTCTATGATGTAATAGTGTGACTAAACACCACCTCTGCATAAGAAGATCGATGCCTGCTTCTACATCGCTGCCTGTTTAGCCATGCCCACCGATTCATGCATGTAGTGTTTACG